TTCCTTCAGCAAGATGCCAAAGACCCCCTCTCTTCCGTGGGCCTGAGTGTCCGGTGCCGTGGACTGTGGAGCGAGTGTATCTTTGACAACGTGGCCGACCTCTGGACCTGTGACATCCCAATTTCTTATCTCAATGAACATCCAGGTAAATGGGGGGGGGGATGAATCCATCCTGCCTGGTGGGACCAGACTGAGATGATGAGCAGCTCCTTCCCAAGGGTGTAGAACCAGGGGGTGGGCGGGCAAAGTGTGACGCAGGGCTGCCTAAGTTCCACGTCCACCCAAGATGGCTTCTGTGGCTCCCAGCTGTGGCCTAACCTCTCTTTTTCCAGTCAAAAAAAGGTGATTTTCAGCACCCGGAAACTTGATGGGGCGGGATGTCATGATCATACCTCAACTTTGACCACCGCACTACTACCACTGTGATTAGGGAACCGCAGAATCGCAGAATGATTGAGTTGGAAGGGGCCGATAAAGCCATACCGAATGCCTGATCTCACCTCCATTCTAGGCTGCCATTGACTCTGCTCTTCCCCGCTCTGCAGCTGTTCTCGTGGTCACCCGGGTCTTGGTGATTCTGTCTGGGCTTCTGTCTTTTTCTGCCATGCCAGCTTTCGTTGCCGGGATGAGTTGCACCAAGCTTTTCCCCGACACACACACACGGAAACGCACATTTTCTCTCGCTGCTGGAACCACCTTTCTCCTGGGCGGTAAGTGTCACCTCAACCTTTTCCTACGGTACGGAGCTAAGTGTGATTTTTTTTTTTCTTGGTGATTCTGTCTGGGCTTCTGTCTTTTTCTGCCATGCCAGCTTTCGTTGCCGGGATGAGTTGCACCAAGCTTTTCCCCGACACACACACACGGAAACGCACATTTTCTCTCGCTGCTGGAACCACCTTTCTCCTGGGCGGTAAGTGTCACCTCAACCTTTTCCTACGGTACGGAGCTAAGTGTGATTTTTTTTTTTTACCTCCACAATAATTTTTTTTTTTCCTAGGAGGGCCATCATGAAAATTGTAATAATTTTTTTAAAATAAAGTTAACTAAAAATAAAGATTTTAGACTAACTCTCTCTCTCTCTCTCACACACACACACACACATACACGGATGGATCGATGGATCGAGCGAGGTGTGAAGATGGTTTTAATTACCGGTGCAGATCTAGTGCGATGAAGAGTTCTGTGCAGCTCACAAGCTTGCTTATGTTGTGCCTTTTCATAATAACAAAGACAATTCTCTCTCTCTCTCTCTCTCTCTCTCTCTTCTAATAAAAGCATTCCTTACTTTTGGATTTTGGACTTTGGATTTTTTTTATTAATGTGGGATGATTTCTATCCCGTAGGGCTATCGGGGGCCATTGCTGTTCTCTGGTACGGCATCGACACAGTCCAGAAGTATAAGCTAGAGGTAAGTGTAGCCTTTATGAAGAAAGAACTGCTTTTAGGAATAGAGTGGAGAAATCTGGAAAGGTATGGACACCTTTTGAGTCATGGCCCCCTGGGGGCTGTCCTCCTAGCTTTATCTCTGGACTCTAGAGCCCATCCGGATGAATTCTGCTCTGTGCAGGCATCTTGCCACGGCAACAGTTTTGGGTGTCCTGGAGAGTGAGCTGGCTGGAGAGATCAGGGGTCCCTCCCCCCCTCAAAAATAAGTTGTATATGTGTTGAAATATTGGAGAGAAATGTTCACTTTGAGCTTGAAACAAGTGAGTATTTTGACTACAGCTTCCAACATCCCCTCTGCCACCATTATCCATCCATCCATCTCTCTCCATCCATCCATTCATCTCTCTCTCCATCCATCCATCCATCCATCCATCCATCCATCCATCCATCCATCCATCCATCCATCCATCCATCCATCCATCCATCCATTCCCCCCACAAAATAATTGGTATATTTGTTGAAATATTGGAGATAAATTTTCACTTTGAGCTTGGAACAGGTAAGTATTTTGACTACAGCTTCTATCATCCCCTCTGCCACCATGATCCATCCATCCATCCATCCATCCATCCATCCATCCATCCATCCATCCATCCATCCATCCAAGAAACAGATGTGACAGTCCAGAGTGACTGAGAGGGATCAACGAGACCAGATTTCGGCCCAGGGGCTCAAGTTCCCCACCCTTCTTGATTCATCTACATGTCTAGGTGTGCCCCTCCCAGGTGGCTCACCATCTCAGTTCTCTTTCAGGTCGGCTTTGGCATCCCGGGCGTGACGTACGAACTGGGCTACTCCTACTGGATGGCAGCTGTGGGGGCGGCTTGCGCAGCAGCCAGCGGGTTCTTGTTACTTGCTGCTGAGTGCTTCCAGGCTCGTGTGCCAGGAAAGGAGCCCCACTCCACGCATCCCCAGCTGGTGGCCAGATGGCAGGCCACATACCTGTGAAGGCAGAGCCCAGCAACCTTGGCCAGCTTCAGGACAGAGGTGGAAAACGTTGGCTGGAACACCAGATGCCTATTAAACCAGATGGAGTTATCCTCTTTCCTTTTTTCTTCTTCACCATTTGGCTGGTTTCCTCATTCTGGTCTTTTGCTCATTGTCCAGAGGCACTAGGCAGTGATGCGCATGGTTAAATCAGGCCTCATCCGTCGGCCCCGTTTCCTTCCCTTGCGCTCCCAGAGGAGTTCTGCTCCAGCCCACCCCCTGGCAGGTCCCACAGCTAGGGAGTAATCCTGTATGCAGAAAGGATGGAGAACTGACGCCCGCCCATCTTGACAGGACTGACCATGAGGGATTAACATCATCATACCACTCCAAGCATGGCCGTGAGGGTCAGACTTTGGAAGCTAAGCAGGGTCAGGCCTGGTTCACCTTTGGAGGGGAGGCCACCAGGACCACCAGGTAGGGCAAGGAAAGGATCTGCTTGAAGAGCTAGGGCTAGAAAAAGGATCTCTGGATCCCCAGAGAACCATTGTTGCCAGTTAGTGGTATGGAGTTAGATGGAACAGTGGCCAAGCCCTGCATAAGCTGCCTTCATATGTTCCTTTCTTATGCTTCAGAAAAGGACCTATAGAGGCCCTATCAGTTTCTCAACTAGATGGGAGAATGTGTAGGATTGCCTTGGGATCGATGATTCCCATGCTCGGTTCACAAAACGGTGTGCATTTTTGAAGCCTATCTCCAAAAACAGCTCCCGATCTCTGTGTTATTCCTAATGAGTGGCCTTTTCAGGTTGCCACAATGGCGTCAGTTTCCCACAACAGCCTTGGCCACCATTACTGCTGGTAGTCTTGACAGTGCTGATGACCTCTTGGGGGTTACGGTGCTGTCCCTGGGCTGTAATTTCCAGTGGCCATGATAGGAGGGAGGACCTTAGCAAACCCACCTCCTTTGCCCCCTTACTTGACCCCAATCCACATCACACACAGACACACACACACCCCAGAGCGCAAGACAAAGGAAAGATACCGTTAAGTTCCCTCAGCCTTGTAACGGCTTCTATTCTCATGGTCTAAGCAGAAAAGTATATTTAGGGCATTTCTTGCAGTAAATGTGATGGTTTTAATAAGTCATAGCATGTGATTTCATAGGATGGTAAACATGAGCTTAATTTGCATGTCTGAACATGATTGTGGAGACAAGGTAACTTGATCTTAGATATACCCATTTCCTCTAGTATTTAGCAATGCCCCCCTGGCAATCTCTCCCGCTCCAATGTTAAACATTTCTAAACATGGGCTCCACAAGTTCCTCTGTGACTGCTAGAGAGCACGGAGGCAATTTTGCCATGTTTTGAACCTCTGATTTTTTTTTAATCATTAAAAAAAAATAACTTTAAAATAGCTTTCACCAGTAGAGGGCACCTGGGTGCTTTTTCAGGAAGTACCCACTTTTTTGGGGGGAGCAGATGCCACCAGGGATGGCTTGTAATGCCTCTAGACAAATGGTCCCCAACTTGGGTCCCCAGATGTTCTTGGACTACAACTCCCGTAAATCCTGGCGACCACAGCTAGTAGTGAAGGCTTCTGGGAGTTTAAGTCCAAGAACACCTGGGGACTCAAGGTTGGGAACCACTGGCCTAGACCTTCATCAGTTGCTTGGCCCTCCTCTCGTTTGATCCATGGAGAAGACAGGAAACAGCCAAACCCAACAAGAAAGAGAAGGAGACACACCCAGGGGTTCATGGGTAGCCCTTTGTATATGTATGCCACCCTTCAATCCTTGCTCTACAGTGGGCGGGTGACAAAAGCAAAAAGAATTTTAGCTCCATTTTTCAGCCTCACCAATACCTGTGGGAGGCAAGTCCATGCCTCAAAAACTGATGACTCTAGTTTTACAGTTTACAATGTTTAGCCTGAACTTTACTTGAACTATCATTTTCAGTCTGAACTTTACAGGAACTATAATTTACGGGTACTATAGTTTTTACAGGAACTATAGCTTTTAGCCTGAACTTTAATTTATCATTTTCAGTCTGAACTTTACAGGAATCATAGTTTTTACAGAAACTATAGTTTCTAGTCTGAGCTTTACAGGAGCTACCTACGGCTCTGAAGTCTTTCCCTAGAATAAGTTCAGCAGGTCGGATACACTCTGGTAAAGTTCAGACTAAAACCCAGGGTGGATTAAGAATAAGTTCAGCAGGTTGGATACCCTCTGGTAAAGTTCAGATGAAACTCCAGCGTGGATTCAACAGCTCTGGGAAACTGAAGTCACCGGTATCCTTTGGGGTGTATGTGGTACAGGTAAACCCCAAACTAAGCAGCAGCTCTGGGAAACTGGAGTCACTGGTGTCCTTTGGGGCGTATGTGGTACAGGTAAACCCCAAACTAAGCATCCCATCTTCCCTCCAAAGCCAGTAGATATTAACAAAAACTATAGTGTGAGCCTGGAAGTCCTCTCCACTCCGCTCCTTGGCATCTGCATCAAACTCGGGAAGCAAAAGCATACATCTTGCAAGTGACTATACGTGAATGGTGCACAGGGCGCTGAGATCTCCTGGAAGGGCCAGCACCTGCTTTGGAGAGAAGAAATGACATGAAAATCCTTCTTGCAGCTGAATTCCAAAATTGGCTACAGTTTTAAGTTTAGAGAAAGTTGTTACAGTAGGACTCCTGAATCTATGGCAGATCAGTTCCAAGCCCCACCCCTGTAGATGCTGGAAAACACAGATTATAGCGAATGCTATTTTAATAGCGAATACTATTAATAGCAGGGTCTCTGGCTCCTACTAGTGGCCAGTTCTGGTAACTTCAATGTTAGAAATATATATATCTGGGATTTTTCTTTCCCTATTTTTATATTTTTTAGACCATGGATGAGTAAATCATTGGATACTGGTTCCATGGGTAAGGGAAAACTACTGTATAAGATGATGATACATGCTGATGATTTTAGAACTGCAGAGCTAGAAGGGACCCTATGGTTCACCGAGTCCAGTCCCTGTCAAGAAGGCCCAGTGGGGAATCGAACTCACAACCTCTGGCAAAACCACAGAGCTCTTCAGTATCTTCAAGGGTTTGTACAGCAGACTCAACAGGATTATTAAAAAGAAGACTGCAAGTCTTTATTCATGGACTTTCATCGTTGGGTGACTTTGAGAAGCACCTCGATATTATTCAGAAGAGCCACTGCTGCTGCTACTATGTCCTTACTCCCTCTCTACTCATGCTTTTGCCATCTTTTCCACTGACCTGTGAGGGCGTAAAGGCAGCAGGTCAAGGCAACGGAGGCCGCCAAGCATCCCGCGGCACCGGCCATTCCCAACCAGCAAGACCAGCCGAAATCATAATGGACACCCAGGAAAATGCCGTGCAGCAGGAGCGTGGCCCTCTCCATGTACACGTCGATGGCATACCAGACCGAGCCCACCAGCCCTAGGACACCTGATGAGGCCAAAGGAAAGAATCGTCAAATGATGGATGGGGACATGAATGTTTTGCCTCTCATCACATCCAAGGGCAATGGGTTCCAAGCCCATGGGAGCAAATGGATGGACAGGGTCACCACCATTCCCGACAGACCTTTTCCATATTAACAAAGCCAGATCCCCGCAGCGATCTATATGGCACTTACTTCCCACTCCAAGCACCAGTCCCGAGAAGGAGCGCATCTTCAGCTTGACTTGTGGCTCATCCTTGAGAACCTTGACGCAATCAAGGCCCAACACCATCAAGATCAGGGCAAATCCAGAGAGGACGTCAGCTGTGATTAGCAATGCCCGGGTCGCTACTATCTTCACTGTGGGAGGGAGAGTGAAGGTCAAAGGACCGAAGAACAACCCTCTTGACAAACTGGATGTTAGGGGAAACTCTCATGACCTGCTATGGCTTCTTTTTCCACCCACAACATGATTCCCTTGGCAATCGGACATAATTCAACCTGCGTGTACCTTTCATGACCATTCACAAATGAAAGCACACAAAATGCAAGATTTGGAGGCGAAGAAAACCACATGCCATGGCATTTCCCACTACAAAAGAAACGCAGCTCCTAATGGCACCGCTAACAGTGTTGTCTAATTTGACCCTGACCCAAGGTTGTCTAATTTGACCCAGGCTGCTTCCCTTGTTGAATTACAGTTTTCATTATTTCAACTTACACATGTTTTCCAGCTGGTTCCCAGCATCTTGTCACCATCATGCATGGCTTAAGCTGAAATTATATGAAAACTAGTGGGTGGAACAACAAAGAAGCAGGAGCTGACTGACGAACCATTGTTATGATAATTTCTTTGTACAGATGTACAATGGGAAATGATCTTCAGAGTTAAAACTTAACACCCCTTTCCCAAGCAGGAAAAGACTGGGAGCTACAGTGTAGCTATAAGACAAGTAGAAGGAAAAACCACACAGACACACGATCAGCTATGTATCATAAAATCACACGGATCCCGAAAAGCTGACCAGGGTTCTCCTATGTAGGAAGTAACCTGGCAGCACCTAACAAGGTGGAAATATTCAGATGTTATGTTTCTGAACTGCCTGGGAGAGACTGTGACCAGCTGACCAATATACCTGTAATTGCTACCAATGGTGGGCAGGGAACTACAAAGTCCCTGATCCACCTCTTTCTGGTTCCTTATCATAGCCATTGCAATACAGGAGACTTTCAGGGGAGTCCTGTCCGCAGGCAGTCCTTCGAACAGATAACTACCATCTGTAAAAGAGCATGTATGGTTATCCCAAGAATCACGGAAGCCATTGCAGAGTTAGGTCTCAGTGGTGAGGTTCTCAAGCAGGGAAATCAGGCGATACCCCATGATCCGTAAAAGGCACCAATGTGTTTTTTGCTTGGTGGTAAGACTGGCTGCTGTTTCCCACTCCAGGGGTGCTGTGAATCCAGACCGGGTTTTAGGTTGCACTGCACAAGAGCTGTCTAAGGTGCTGAGTCCTAGCTCTCCCGTAGCTCTCCATTATCATTCAAGTATGAACCCAAGCTGACCCCACTTGACTTCCAAAATCAGACAAGATTTTGTTCAGGACTGTAAAGTGCTGAGTTAAAGGAAGTAGCTAGCAGTAGCAAGTGACGTCTGAAGGCTTTGCTCAGAAGGGCTTCCCAGCAACCCTCCAGAAGAGGAGTCGTTCCCAACCTCGGGACCCGTGAGGTTCTCGTGCTGCAACTCCCAGAAACCTTCAGCACTCACTGGGCTGGCCAGGATTTCTGAGAGTTGCCATTCGAGAACCTCTGGAGACCTAAAGCTGGGAATCACTGCTTAGAACAGGAGACATGGTTTCATGGAGGTTAGCACCATGAAAACCACCGAATCCAAAATGGCTGCCGGAATGGCTGACGTTAAAACCATCAAATCCAAAATGGCCGACAGGCATTCTTGATCGAAGTTAGCCAGAGACGTACGTGGGTGTTCCCCGAGTATGGAGTCGTACTGGTCACAGGTCTTGACGCCATCTTGCATGTTGGTAACACACTCCCTCCAGAGCCCCCGGCATCTATGACTGACCTAAGAAGAAGAAAAAAATGCAGTGTGGAGATCCATCATCCCGAAGGCTGCTGCTGTCATTTCACTGTTACTGTTGTTATTGGAGGGGTAGTGTTGTTGTTGTTTTGTGTGTGTCTTGTTTTGGACTGTAATTCCACAAATTCTCCAAGAATTTTGGGAATCGCAGCCTACAAAGCTGAAGCTGCACATCTATAGGGTTTTGTCCTCCCCTGCCTGCCCCCACAGTCCAAAAAGGGTTTATGAGTTATTTACAGACACATCACCTTTTTTTGGCCTTTGCCTCCTGTTGTTGAAATTTGTTTTTTAAAAAAGAGAAGCCACTGCGGCACTTCCTGGGAGTTGTAGTTTCACTGGAGGGCGCCTCCCAAAGAACTGTGACTCCCAAGAAGCACTGTGGCCGCTTTCCCTGCTTTTTTAAAAAACAAATCTTGAACAGGAACCAAAAGCCCAAGAAGTGGTTTTTTCAGCAACAAATGTTCAGCAAGGAGACAACATAGATATTCTCTGTTAAAAATGTAACTACAATAGTAACTAACTACTTTGGGAGGGGCTTGGAACTGTGCAGAAATGAAATAGTTTTTTTAAAAAAATAGCTGAAGTGCTGGATTTGGCCAGGATCGAAGATGGAACTTAATCTGGCTGCAGTTTCCCCTCCCGTCATCCTGCAACTCCTGCAATGGGTGAAATCTATTCCAAGTTTTCAATGTCACAGAGGATGGCAGTGGGAGGGGGGCAGGAAGAAAGTTCTAGCACTGTTGATGCTGAATGCCAAAATATACAGCAGGAAATCTTGGCAGATGGGTTTACACAAATGCACTAAAAGGGTGTTGGAGTGTTTGCAACCTCGCATGCTACCTTACAGGAGGCGTGGCTGGGAGGGACCTTTTTGGGTTGGGGTGTCTGTCTATCTACCCAGCATTAACCAATCATTCCCTCCCTGTCTGTGACTTTAAAGAGATATTTATCTCAGTGTTCTGTGCCTTTTTCCCCATCTCTGTAGTCTGTTGGAGTCTGTTTGCTGAAAGCAGCCACGTTGGTTAGTTTTGCCGTTTGATCTGTTCCATCGTAAGTAATGAAACCTTCTCACTAATGTCTCAGAGCGAGTTACTGAGACGGCCCTTGTCCATTGATGGGGGAAAGGGGTGGTCTAATCTGGGGAGCTTGAAGCTACTCTGCTCTGTGAATCCCTACACTTCTGCTGTACAGCTAGTTGGGCTTTAACCAAAAAAAAAATTGAAACTCTGCAAGCGATGCATCAGAGGCCTTGTTCACCTCTAGACTGTCGTCCGCGTTCACCATCCAGCAGTCCGTCCAAGTAGCCGCGATGAGGAGGAGGGTGGAAAGAAGCGCCACGCAGAACGATGCCAGCTGCAACACCCCTGCCATTGGAAAGCCTGGGAAATGCCAACACACACACGCACGCACAAGCGTAAGCCTACTGGTGATGTTATTCAGACTACATTCATTCCTCTAATATTTTATGCTCAGTGGTTTAAGTCTCTGGCTGCAGAGACAACGGTTGGGAGTTCGAATTCCCTCCCAGAGCATCCTTGGCAGGGGCTGGACGGCTGGGAGTTCGAATCCCCTCCCAGAGCATCCTTGGCAGGGGCTGGACTGGATGATCCATAGGGTCCCTTCCAGCCTGACAATTCTAAGATGATGATACTTCCCCAACAAGCAGTCACAGTCGGATGGTGTTTCTCCAATGGCTGCTGGTGCCAAGCTTAGGAAGATGTACAGTAAACTCCATGAATAGGGGGACAGACAGAAAGGAGCAGTTAGATGATAGTCTGGGAGGGAGACAAGGAGATTTGCAGTGTAGTCCAAGAAGTTGAAGCATGTTAATTTTACAGTATAGACTCTGAATCCCAGAATCCCCCAGCCAAGTTGTACTTCATTTGGAGCGACTTGTTTGGAAGCTGCTCCCAAACTCTTCATCTACGTCTATTCAGAAACAAATTTTAAGTTTTCAGATGGTCGCTCCCAGCATTTTTTAACCAGCACAACATTGGCTACCCAGCTTCTCTAGATTATAATATGCCTTGCTTTAAATTTTGGTGGTTTAAAAACTAGGAAAGGTGGGGTGGGGTTTTGGTTCTCTGTGTGATAAGGAAATGTGCACATTTATGCTCTGTCAAGGGAGCTATCAGAATTCACGTTTTAGGAGCTGATTTCTTTGCCGAAAACGGAATGCTCCACGTATGAGAATGGGCGTCTGCTCTCTCACACACAAAAAATTAAATTTAAATTAAAAGTATGAGTGTGTGTGGATGGCAGAATGAACAACAACATTCATCAGTCAGGTGCCTGGATTAATCAACATTTCTGTGGTGGTGACCTTGCCACATTAAAAAAAAAAGTCTCTGAGGAAGAATGAAGCTATAAACAATTAAGAAAAAAATGCATACTGAGAACGATGGAGCAGCACCATGAAGAGAACTCCAGGGCTTCGGCTTATGTGATCAACAGGAATTTTTGTTGGATTAAAAGAACAAGAACGAAGGGGGGAAAAGAGAGTTTGTACAGCTGTAAAGGGAGGCCACCAATTAAGCTGTCTGGAAAAGGCCGCCCCGCCGTTTGGGAAATTGACAAGAAGGATCGTAGAGTTATAGAATCGTGGAGTTAGAAGGGGCTCAAGAAGACCATCAAGTCCAACCCTCCGCTCAGTGGAGGTATCCAGATCAATGCAATTTACACACTCCTGGGATTTTGAAGCGCTCACCACCTCCCGAGGTCATGGGGTTCCATTGTCGTACTGCTCTAGCAGTTAGGAACTATTTCCTGATATTCCACCGAAATCTGGCTTCCTGCCCCATGAGCCCATGATGACGTGTCCTGCGGTCTGGATCAAAAACCAGATCCTGCCCCTCCTCTGTAGGGTCACTTTTCCAGCATTTGCAAGCATTTGAACAAGATGAAAGAGCCGGAGGATGATTTTATTTTAGGGCAGGTTCTTCGGGTGAAAAAGAAGGTGCAGACTGTTGCGTTAAAAAGACCTCTGCAGCCTTTTTTTTTTCAGTGTGAAGCTCTGCCGTCTGTCCCGATCAAACCCAGACTCCTGTGGGCACTTTAAAGACGAACAGATTTTTTTATATGGTAGAAGGTTTCTCGGCCTTCAAGTTCTGCTTAATAAAACTAGTTAGTATGACTGTGCCGTGGGGAGACATAAGCGTTTCTGTCATTTTGGGTTCTTTCGGGTAGATCCTCTTTCGGGTTTGAGTTCTTTCTGATTCTCCCATTCATCCCGAAAAGCCCCAAACCTCAGGTTTTTCCATGAAGGTTTTCCTGTTCTGGTTTCTGACGCTGGACCCAATTAAGCCAGAAGTCTCAAAACCAGCCCCCCCCCAAAAAAGTAGGAACCCACTTTTGCCACATCACCCTCCTCATCAATTCATCTGTAGGAAACAGTACCAGTGAGAAACAGAAATCATCCCCATCATCGTAATCAAAACGAAACACACACTTTCTCTCTAAGGGGGATATATATTATCAAACCCTCTGGACATCAAATTTTAAAATATGGGGGACAGAAAAGGTGCTCTCTTGTGTTCCCACCGAAGGCAGCGGTGAAGGTGGTGGGATCAAGAGGGCTTCTCCTGATGATCTTAACACCCGAGCCAGCTCATAATGGGGGATCAAGTCTTCGAAACAGCTTGGACCCCAAGCTATTTTAGGGCTTTATAGGTTAGAACCAGCATTTTGAATTGTGCCTGGAAATGGATCGGCAGCCGTTGGAGCGGCTGGAACAGGGAGGTCTATGTGATCCCTGTAACCGTTGGAGTGGATGAAACAGGGAGGTCTATGTGATCCCTGTAACCCAGCTCCAGTTAGCAATTTTGTCTGCGGCTGTTGGTGGAGAGCGGATGGATGAAAGGAAAAGAGGGCATGAATTTGACGAGCGCCTGAAAAATTCATCCAGCTGTTATCTGCCCATTCATTGTCTTAAATTTTAAAATTGTTAGTCCCAGCATTCCTTGAGTGGACTTGATAAAGGGAACACATAGAACCAGAGAACCAGAGGCTTGTATATTGGAAGGGGTACCCAAAGATGATCTAGTCTAGCACCCTGCCAATGAAAGAATAAACAACTAAAGCAGATCTCAGCAGATCACCACCTAATCTCTGTTTTACAACCGGGTCAGTGCACTTGACTGGGCTTGGCTTCCAGAAGAAAGGGTTGCCTCCTTCTGTAAGTCTAAATTGTTCAATGGGTCTACTCTGTACTAGATTTAGTACCGTTTTAGAGATTTGCTCCTGAGTAAACATGTGCAGAAACATGCCTTTAAAAAAAAAGCAAAATATCCAGTAAAAAAATTCAGAGGTAGGGTGGGGGGAAAATTACTTGTCTGGACCACAATTCCCATGGGCCATGCTGTCTGAAACTTATGAGAGCTTTCTCTACTGAAACTAAATTTCTCCAAACACTGAGAAAATTCCCGAATTCCTATCTGGGGGGAGGAGGAGACCACATCTCTTGCTTCTCAGCCAAGATCACAAAAACGAGGAATTTTACCTTTCCGTTGAATGAACTCAACTCCCGGCCTTCATGGTTGAGAGGAACAGAACATCTGGAGAGAGAAATGAGGATTTTTAGGTCATTGTGCTCCAAGTGTTTTAAGATGCCAACGGGAAGATCTGAGGTTGGTCAGCTCACCCAGCTGAGCTGGCATCAGCCACCGGGCAGCATCTAACCCAACTCCCCTCCTGACAAGAGTCAACCGCGATCCAAATTGTTTCTAGATCAGCCTTTTTCTGAAGAAATATTCCATGTCAGCTGGGCTTTTGAGCTTGACGGCAGGGTGGATTTGCTGGTAATTAAAAAGACTCATGGGCCAGGAAGCAGCGGCTGAAGCAGGTGGTGGCACCTTCACAGGACCTTGGCAAACAGCGACCGACGCAGCAGGACCCTCCAGATGGATCTCGAGGCTGTGGCCTCCAAGGTCAAAGTGGCGTCAATCATTTCTGGAAAGGGGGTGTTCTAGAACCAGGAAGAGAGGCTGCTTTGAAAGCCATTCTGCGTTCCAGTTAATGACACCAGGAATATTAGCAATGGAATTGTAGAGTACACACTCTGGAGAAATTACTTTTTAAAATAAAGATATCGTTGCCACAGTTCTCCGCCCAGCATGGCCACGGACTGAGATCCCTGTGGCCACCGGAAGTTGTGGTCTATCAGAGTAACTTTTCCGAACTCTGGTTAGATACCCGCTGATTTTGCTTTCCAGCAAGAGCCAGCCAGATTCGTCTGGGAAGCCCAAAAGCAGGACGTGAAGTTGGTGGCCCGTCTCCTCTGTCTCCCACGGCATTTACCTAGCCATAAAAATCTTACCGAAAAAAATTGTTGTTCAGTTCAGCCAACAGACTGCCCCAGAACACCACTGCAAAGTTTCCGTAAAGTCAGGAGAGAGCACAATTTGACAAAATTTTTGACCCTCTCTAGGTTGGAATGTTTATGAACATTCCCAGGCTACACTTTTTAAAACTTCAATGAGAACAAATCCCAGCATGGTCCTCGGTCTTCTGGGAAGCGCTACGTTGTCAAGCTTTATCACAAAACTATAGGCAGATCCCTCAAAAGCTTCCACTCTTGGTGTGAATGAAGAGCCGATGTTCCTCGTTTAAGTTGATAAGACATTTTTCCTACTGTCACATTACTTTCCTTGTTGGTTCCTATCTGCTTAGCATGGGGCTGAGGCATCTGTGTGGGCCATTCACACAGAGATATCTGATAGAATGGGAGAGGCTGAAAGAGGCAGTATCTGGGACTTGAACCGCCTAGATTCCCACCCGATAACTCCCAATCTTGAGATTTTGCACAGACTTCTCGAAGTGCCTAGACAAGTGGGTTTTACAGAAAATTTGGCTTCACAAAGAGAAGATTGACTATCAAAAGGTTCAGCTCTGTTTGTATTCCCCATCCTGTTTTCCGAACTGAGAAAAGATCAGATATCTTCCTACGGCATGATGTTCAAAGTCACACCACGAAGGCACTCAGTAGCTCTATTAGGGGTATATAATAGCTAAAAGCAGAACCAGACAATTCTGTGAATACTTTATTGAGGGCTCCAATTTGAGGTAAAAGGATCTCTCTCTCTCTCTCTCGCCATAATGTGAGTATGCCTCAATCTGCATGCTGCAAATCGATTTGCTTTCATGATTGGTTTTCAGGAGATTAACTCTAGGAATGGGAGTTTCTGGGGGTTTTTTTGGACTGCAAATCCCATAATTCTTCATTCCGGACGTTCACCTTGACTTACACACACCCAAATGGGGCTCATCTGGGAGAAAAGGCCTAAACAGGAAGCCTTTGGGACTTATCTAGGCCTCGCTCTACTCGAGCTTCCTGTTCCTGCCCCAGTGCTAGCTGGGAATTTTCTTTTTGAACAGGAAACTAGGCAGAGCCAGGTCTAGCTAAACCTCTAAGACTACCAGTTTAAGCCCTTTTCTCCCAGCTGAGTCATATTTAGGTGTCTGTAAGGTGTGCATGTAAGTTAGGTACCACTCTGGGGAATTATGGGATTTGTAATCCCAAACAAGAGAGAAAGAAATTAGAAAATCCCACCCCTACAAAAACGGTTTTGCTCAGCCATGAAATTTTGAAAGGCGTTCGATATATTCGCGAAGGCTTTCATGGCCGGGATCTAATGGTTGTTCTGGGTTGTTGCGGGCTCATTGGCCATGTTCTGAAGGTTGTTCTTCCTGACGTTTCGCCAGTCTCTGTGGCCGGCATCTTCAGAGGACAGCAGAGCACAGGTTGCTGTCCTCTGAAGATGCCGACCACAGAGACTGGCGAAATGTCAGGAAGAACAACCTTCAGAACACGGCCAAAGAGCCCGAAAAACCCAGAACAACCATTAAATTTTGAAAGGTTTACCAAGCTAGACAGAAAATGGTGTAATAGCACCCAAACACACAACTCCTACTGCCTTACAGCTGCAATTGCCCCCTTACACCGAATGTCCATTTACCTCCTGCCCCTTTCTGGAACACCATGTCTTATGGCCAACGCAGGCATACAACGCTCTTTGGTAGGCCACCATCTTTCATCATCCTCAGTACGGTCACACACAACGCTTGGCTCCATTTTGAGGAATGGATCTTCCACATCTATCTTGCACACACAGAAAGGAAGGGAGAGGAGGTGGAAAGGAGAGCATTTTCATCTCTGTTCCTCATTTGGGGGCCACCGCTGTGTTTTTTAAGCCTTTGTGGGAAGCTTCAAGGTTTGAACTTTTGAGAACAAGCCCAATTAGGCCAAGTTCACCCCAAGCCCAAGCACTAAAACCACAGGGGAGAAGATTAACCGCCCACCACCCTCTTGTTCACGGCATCTGCTTGTGCAGACGTTATTAGGTTAATTAGCATTTCCTTCACTCGCCAGTCCAAAAATATATGAAGGGGGGAGAGAGAGGAAGGCAAAATAAAGGGGGAAGGGATAATTATGGGAAGCAACGAAAGCCATGTCCCCAGGAGGAAGTTCAGCTGCAAGGCCAGCTCATGAGGAAACGTGGGGGTGGGCAGGGAGAGTGATGATGATGATGATGATGATGATGATGATGATGATGATGATGATGATGATGATGATGATGATGATGATGATGATGAAAAATAGAACTGGAGTGCTGGAAGGAACCCTTTGGATCAGCTTCACGGTGTAATATTCCCCTGGCATGCACAGGTGCCGAGTTCAATTCCTGGGGTCTCCAGGAAGACACCGAAGATCTTCAGCCTGAAGCCCTGTTGCCAATGACAACAACAGAAAAAAACAACAAATAGGCTGGACCAACAAAATGAGGCCCCAGTGGAGGCGCAGGATCTGTTCTCGCTCATTCCAGAGGGCAGGACACATAATAATGGGTTCAAGATGCAGGAAGCCAGATTTCAGCTGAGTATCAGGAAAAACTTCATAACTGTTAGAGCAGTACGACAACGGAATCCATGATCTCGGGAGGTGGTGAGTACTCTCAAAGCTGGAGGCATTCAAGAAAAAATTGGACGACTGTCTGTCAGTTTTGATTTGATTTGGATTCTTGCCTTGAGCAGGGGGTTGGACTCCATGGCCCTAAGAGGCCCCTTCCAACTTTGTTAGTCTACCAATCTATGATTCACACCCCCAGGCCAAACACAATGCCTCCCATTCAGGCCAAGAAACTGGTCGGCAACTTGTTTCAGCTCTACAAATTCAGCCCAGAATCCCACAGAGGCTTGGAAAGGAGAGGGGGAAAAAAAAGACACAGCAAACTTAAGAAAGCTGGCGATAAAAATATTTTAATGAGACTGATTTTTAGTACAAACAAGTAGACACAAAGGAGTTGCCACTTGGTGGCTTTGTTTTTGGAATTCGAAGCAGTAAAAAGACAGCACCACGCAAAAAAAGTTAAGGCAGCATTTATACCACAGAGGGGTAGAGATCACCGCTCATTCTCAGTGATAATTTTTCAGACATTGGGGTGCTTGGTTTGCTTGTTTTGGGTCGGTCGGTTTCCCACCAGAGGGAGGAAATCTCAGGGAACCGTTTTTACATCCTGGCTGGGCTTAAGAGTCATTTTGTCTCTTGACTGGGAAAAGCTCAGCCTTGTGTCCTTGAAGACTTTATACGCTCTGCTCTCCCCTTTTTACAGTTGGTCTGAAAAATCAAGGGGGAAAAAAGGGGGCTGTTAGTTTTAAGCCCATAAAAGCAGCAGGTGAAGAAAACACCGTTTCTGCTTCCCTCTCCATCATCTGCCACAGGACCTTTTTTAAAAAAAATAAAAAATAAAATATCCATTGCCCTGAACTAATGATCTTGAGGCAGGTTGATAAAACACCAGTTTAGAATAATTCAAAGGGATAAAATGATATGCAGGAAGTCACATCCTGCTAGGTCAGAGTCAAGCCACTGCAAACCCTACGTGTCTGAGATAGTAGTCAGATGCGAACAAGGCGTTGAGATGAATGGGATGTTGGCTCGCAACTGGTATGCTTTTGGTAGGGAGGACGGATCCGCTCCGGGCTTTGGTCCGAACTGCAAAGGAGATATTCCATTTGCTACAACCTTAGTTCCTTAAAGAGGTTCAGCACCTGGACAGCACCCCTATGGTTTGACCTTAAACCTGAAGCAGGCTCGCTATTCCCACAAAATCGGGTCCCCCCACCATGAAATAAATTTCCAATCATCTGGAATTCCCTTGGAACTTTTAATGCCCCTTGAGACGGAATTAATTAACTCTTCTGCATCCCGTCATTACAGTAAAACCCTGGTTCATCAAATACAAATCTTCACCCTAAGAGACCAGGCACCAATGCAGTGTTTGTTTCCTAATGTTCATCCTGGATTCTGGAAATTAAATCTACATCGTTTGTAAATTTTAAGATTGAGACGGAATGTTAGACAGTGGGCAGTACAGGATTCTCACCAGTAGGAAAGTATATTATAAGCACAAATAGGCTTTGATATGGAAAAGAGTGAAGCGAGACACCAATAAAAACCTGAGAACCCTAGAATTGTAGAGTTGGGGGGGAGGGTCCCCCAGAGGCGATGGGCTCTAAACCCAACCAGAAACCTCAGAGATACAGAATTCCTTGTGTGTCTGAATCCCTTGCTTCTTGGGGCTCTGAGAAACCCCTCTTGCCCCCCCCCGATTGCATATAGGAGTGGACCTCTCACTCTTCCCTTGAATAGACCAAGTGGATTCAGACATACTCTCTGGCAGTCGAAGGCTGTGACTGCCGGTAGTACTGCTGTCCCCTTTCTTCTGGCTTTGGGCAGGAGCAAGAGAGGAAGGCGCCTCCCAGCAGGATCAGACTAGCTGCCGACCAGCCTACAAAGAGGGCCGGTCCAAATTCATATCTAGGAGAGAGAAGACGGCAAGATTTACAAAGCAGTGTAAAATCTGGCTGTCAATCAATTTGAAAACAGAGTGGGATCCCCGTATCTGCAGGAGCAGTATCCACTGATTCATTCATCCACAGTCTGAAAATATTAAAAATATTAAGAGAAAAACTCTAGAAATACGCATTTCTCAAGATGGCGTTATCAAACTGGCCACTAGAAGGAGCCAGAGACCATGCTATGTATAGTGTTCACTTTTAAATTCCTGTTTGCTCATACAAGCTTCTCCTTCTTTGCACTTTGTCTTCTTAACCACCCTATGAGGTAGGCCAGGCTGAAAATAGTAGTCCCATGGTGAGTTCTGTGGCTAAGTGGGGATTTGAACTCAGGTCTCTGCAGCCCTAGCCTGATGCTCTAGCCATGGCACTCTACAGGATCACCATCGTTGGAAGAAATGCAGCATATAAATAAAACTAATAAATAAACATAGACCTTGACAAAAAAACAATGTGACTTTAAAAGATTCTTTCATGGTCATTCTATAGCTTTGTACCCCATCCTGTAACCTATTAATACAGGGCGGGTCAGAAACACTTTGAATAATATATGCAATTTTTGTTAGGGAGCTTCCCATGTCTATTTTGAGAGAATTCCCCACCGTATTCAACTTTTTGTCTACAACTGCCTGCAACACGTGAATTTTTGTACATGGCGGCTGAAACCCTGTTGCTTAGTTATGCAAATGGCATAACTTGTAAAGGCAAACAATCATGAGTTAAGAAAGCTCCATAGGTGTGACCGCTTGCATAGCGAGTCAGGTGACTTGACACACCCAATGATCATGCCTATGGAGAGTTCTTAACCTATAGCAATCTGCCATGGAAAGTTATGCCTTTTGCGTAAGTACGCAATAGGATTCTGGCGAATCACCCTCAGGCTATGCCCTTTTTTTTTGCATAAGAGAACAGGAGTACAAACTTCAGAGATGTATAAACCACCCCTCCCCAAATAATGAACATTGTGCATCCGTTTAAAGTCAAGATCTGAAAATCCTATCCCTTCTTTTTACCTTGCATTCACTGGAGTGCTAGGATTGAAGAACTCATATGTCACTCGTGCAGCGTACCACGAAACCGCCGTCATTGTGCATAAACCTGGAACAATAAGGAGTGTGGGTGTGATTTGCAATATCAAAACTCATGTAGCTGGACAAAGCTGAGGTCTTGCGTTGGTGTTCTTTGATTGGAATTCCCAATGTTGTTTCCATTTCCAGAAAAGCAGCTGGAAGATGGGGGGGGGGGAGAAAGCTGAGTTGAATGGGTCTGCCATGAAGACAGACTGGGACAGGACACTTCCTCTACGCTGTACCCTAAAGTATGTCTCCATCTGTCCAAAGATGCTCTTTATTAAAGAGAAGACAGCATACAAGACTCTTTTTGGGGAAGAGTGACCTGCACCTAAATCTGGCTGACCTGAGAGAACAGGCCGAACCTGTAAGTCTTTGAGATTTAGCTGGGCCTAGCTCTCATACAAGCTTCCTGTTCCTGCCCCAGTGATCACTGGGAACTTTCCTTCTGAATAGGAACCTAAGTAGATTCTGAATGTCTTATACCAAGGGAGGGTTCTGAGCTCGGAAAGATGCCTCACTCCACAATATGTTTTGGATGGGGACGCCCCCTGCCTGGTCGCAAGGCCCCTGCATCACCCTCTTCTTCCACAGATGATATGAGATAATAAAAAAACCTAATAAAATGGTTTTCCTCGGATTTGCAATGTGAAATATGATACAAGAGCAGCAGCAGTGGATGGCAAGTCCCATTTCAATGGTGCTAGGTATCCACTCTAGGTTTTAGGCTGCACTTGGCAAAAATGATCCATAGGGGTTCGGCTTCAGCACCTTGGATAGCTCCCCTAGAGGCAGCCTAAAACCTGGCATGGATTTACCATTCCGTCAGAAGTGGAGTCTGTAGCCTTCTGGGGAAAGAGAGGAGAATATATGGAAAAATGGAAAGAAGGAGGAGATCAGAAGTGACCAAAACATCACTGCTAGTTATAAAAATCCCGTGTCTTTGTGGGGCTAACCCATACAAGGCACGGGCTGGTGAGAGAGAAGTCTTAGCCTAAGGAGTCCATCTGTCCGGTGTTTTCCGTACCAGCCAAGAGGAAGAAGACGCCGCCCAAGACAGCAATCCAGCTTTTGGCCACAGGATTCTCGTCCCCAACTTTGGTGCATTTCATCCCGATCACGCTGACGACCACGCCGACAAAACCCAAGAGGATGGAGACCACCATGAGAGCCCTGGATGTCTGGATGTGAACTGAATGGGCAAGAGACAATTAGTCTTTGCTAATGGTTTTTAAAAAAATATTTTATTGACTCTAAAATACACACGCACACACAAAAAAATAAAACAAAATAAAAAATTCTCTCTCTCTCTCTCTCTCTCTCTCACACACACACACACACACACACACACACACACAAAAACACAAACACACACACACATACACACAAAGTGTGCTCCTCCACCTCGACCCTTTGGAGGGATGCTGCATTTATTTCATTGACGATGCCCTGTTTTCTTTCCAAAAACTGAACTGATTCGTTTGGCGGTACATTGGCCCTTCCCTTTAATTAATACATAATCAATAAAAGCTCCCCAAATATCTCTACAGGCATTTTCATTTGTGAACCACTTTTAAAAACTTAATTATCACAAGTTAGTCTATCATCAATAGCAATCTTCTGTACTTCTTTATACCATGCATTGAATTGAAATTCATGCCTTGATTTCCACTTTTGAGCTGTAATTAATCTTGCTGCCGGTACTAAGCATCTTATCCATTCCTTTACTGTCCAGTTCCATTGTTCCCTATCCCTTGCTGATATTCACAAGGTTCATCCCAATATTTATTGATTGATTGATCTAAAATATTTTAAACCCGCCTTTCTCCTTGAGAAGGACCCAAAATGGCTTACAACATTGCAAGACAATATTTAAAGTTGAACAACATTAAAAGACAACATCTAAAGCTGAGAGCAATGGACATAAAGAGGCATCTTACATCATTAAAAGGCCATATTAAAGCAAAGAACAATAAGTATACAATTCAAAAAACCAGCTCTTAACATTTCATTACATTTCTACATGGTAAGCCTTTGCTAATTCTCCGCAGGGAACAGAAAGCTGCAATTTAGTCTGAGATTTTCAGAACTCAAAGACTCTTGGTCCCATAATTCGGCAGGAAACCCCCAGGATGAATTATGGGTCTGGGAATTCTTTTACTGGCAGGTGGCGAATCGGCTTCCCCCACCTCCATGTGGTTCCCACCCTGCTGATTTAAAAAAGCATTTTAAAAAGCATCCTTAATGTTGGAGTCGTAAGTACTCCGGGCAACTCACAAAGGCGCGTGGGGTTGGGGGAAGGAGGCCGGGTAGAGGTTGCTTCCATATAGAAGCCATCCTGCTGAATTATGGGGTCGGGAGTCCTTGAATCACACAGAAAACTACACCTACAAATACAGAAGCCCACTTCTCGCAAGATGATGCTCGGCAGCAACTTCCACAATCTTCATGAATGCATGAGAGACACTCGCTTTGAGGTGCTCTTCGAATGTAATCACACACACATTAAAAAAAACCCTTTTGAAGTGGGCTCTAACCACTGGGCAAGCAGATCGACGGGACTTGAACCTATGTGGGGGGGAACCTTCAACAGCAAAAAGAAACAAAGGCGTTCTGAACCGTGTCACCTGGACCAAGCGACACACAGGCAAAGAGCTTTTTAATGTGTTGTTTGGAGCATGTGAATGCTCGGCAAAGGACTTTTTAACCTTGGAAACGCCAGAAATGCTAGCAAAGGGCTCTCGGAGAGAGCGGCTGAGGGCTCTTGAGAGTCACATAGCCACAGACATGACCGATGAAAAGTTCCTTTCACAGAGAAGGAAAGAGCTCTTCAACATACCAACAAAGGGCTCTTTTACTGGGGTTCCACTTAATGAGGACTTCTCCAGAAAGAGCATTGTTCTGCTAAAAGCACCTACTCTGGCAGTGGTTGTTTTAGGGTTTTTTGTTTTCATTGTCCAGAAGATTTTAGGAGATCTGTGCCTTCTACCCACCTTCTCCTGCTTTTTTCTCTCCGTCTAAAACTATGTTTTTCTTTACTTTACTTTCAGTTTGGTTCCTTGACAGACAGGACAGACAAACACAGACAGGCAGACATTTGGAAGGAAGGAAGGAAGGAAGGAAGGAAGGAAGGAGCTGATGATGGGTGGAAGGAAGGAAGGAAGGAAGGAAGGAAGGCTTAGTATTTCCTGTTTCTGCACCCATGGTTCAGATGGTAGGCCCAGGGAGATTATTTGGATAGCACGCAGTTTTTGACAAAACAAAGAAATGAACAAACAGCCTAAAACCCAATTCATGGGTGTCTATCGTCAGTTCTCCCACCCCTTACTTTAGGTGAGGGTTAGGAGAAGGGAAGGAGAAGCCCGTGTTGAGTTGCCTTTCCACGGATTCCATGGAAGTATTTCGGAGGATTTCATGGTACCCCCAGCTGGATTTGGTGGTGCCCCAGGGAGCCACGGCGCACAGTTTGGGAACCCCTGACTTATGCTGACCAGAACTTCATGGGTGCGCTTAGGAGCGGACTGAGTGATGAGGTGAGGTGGAGTATGTTCTCTGCACAAATTTCCTCCAAAATGCACTGAGCGATGAGGTGAGGTGGAGTACGTTCTCTGCACAAATTTCCTCCAAAATGCAAGATGTTCCTGGAAAGTCTCCACTGCGACATTTTCTATAGAAAAGTCCCCATCTTTTTTTTTTTTTTAAAGGCACACAAATAAGTCCCAGGAACTCTGTTTCATCAAATTCGCGGGCTAGGATTGAATGGCAAGATTCCGTTCCGGACCCCTCTGTTTCTCCCAGATTTAGCTCTCCCTTTTTCATTTCTAGGCCATCAATACTAAGAAAACATTAGGCAATATTAGCAACTGCAGTTTTAAAGTTTCTCTGCTAATGCTTTCTGAATCATTACAGTGGACCCTTGACTTACAGATGGCTTGACTTACAGACTTTTTGAGTTACAGACTTCTCTGGCCGCAAAATTTAGGTTTGACTTGCAGCCAGTTTTAAAGTTTCTCTGCTAACGCTTTCTGAATCATTACTTTCAGGAAGCGTGCTTGAAACAGTGTGGCCTTTTTTGTTGGTTTGCAAACAGAGTGATGTAACAGACCCAACAATCCACAGCAATATTTTGCTTGCAAAAAAAAATTGCTTATCTTTCGGTTTGCAGGACATTAAGATCCAAACCAAAAGGGTGGCCCCTTTTTTTGGTTTCGTTTTAAGCAAACACACAACTATCTCATCTGCATATTTGGTAGCTCCGAGGCAGCCATAAAAATGCTGGACCACAGAACAAAAATAACCCAGCTAGCACACCGCCTTCTGCTGCACTTCCCACCTGGCAACCATGATTTGAATTCAAATATTTAATTTATCTAGTCTCGTTGATAAGCCGCCTTTCTCTGATAGGGCTCAAAGCAGCTCACAAAGTAAGACACAATCATTAAATGAAATTAAACTATCATAATAACTCAATAATAATAATAATAATAATAATAATAATAATATTTATATGTCAAGTGATTTAAAAGCATTCACTTTAAGAGCAAACCAGCAAGCTGAACAGCTCAAACCAGTGTTCAGGGGACTCACTTTAAAAGTTACACATGAAAATTGAAAGTTAAAAGCCTGCCTGACCAGAGTCACCTTTATGGGTCGTTCAGACATGTAAAGGTTTTGTTGAGTAAAGAAGAGCGGAACGCACTAACAGAATTGGACCACACTCTCATTAGTACATTTGGTGGTGGTGGTGGGGAATTCTGGAAGATTTCCCGATTCAAAATTCCCAAGAAAACCACAGGCCAGGGATTAAGCGCAGCCCGTGGTTTCAAAAATGTGAATGTCTGATAGGGAAAGAACGGGGAAAATAAGAGTAGGAAGAGAAATACAGGATTGGTTCCGGAACACTTCCCTGGAGTTCTGTAAAGAAATTCCCGGCAGGGAAGAAATGAAACCAATAATTTACAAGTTTTCTCTCTCTCTCTCTCTCTCTCTCTCTCTCTCTCTCTGTCTCCCTGTGTGTGTGTGTAGTGGGGGAATTGTGATAGTTTAAATAGTTTCTAAATTTTTAATTAAATAGTTTTTAAACCACAAAATTAATTTCAAGTGGGTCTTTTACTACCTTCTGCATTTTTTACATTTAAATTACAAATGGAGATTTATTTATTTTTTGCCTGAACTGAAGGTTGATTTCTCAAAAATGAAACAAGTGGGCAGGATGCTCAGGTGCCCCATGTATTCTTGTCTATAGCACTCACATGTATGAAGAGTTTAGTTTCCTGAAATTGCAGACCCCAAAGTAACTTTGAAAGCAAGTCAGGGGAGGGGATCCCCCCCCCAAATCTTTTCTATTTGGCTGGATAGATTAGTTAGGTCTCTGGCTGAGGAGCGAGTGGTTGGGAGTTTGATTCCCCCACTGGGTCTCCTGGGAGAAGAACCAGCCTGGGTAGCCTTGGGCCAGCTGCACAGTCCCACAGCGCCCCTAGAGGAAGGGAAGGGTAAAGCACTTCAGAGAATTCTCTACCTGGGAAACCCAGGAAAGGCTATGATGTCTTCCTGAGTTTCAAGAGATAAACAGCTCTCTGAGCAAGTGCAAAGGGCACCTCTATCCCCACTCAGAAACTAGTGGCCAGCCCCCTTCCGCCCATCCCTAAAAGTCCCCAGAATTCAGGAAAAATCCTTTTCTGGGAATTTATTAGGGAAAAATATTAGAATATTTATTAGGGGGGAAATGGTGATACCCCAAGGATTAGCAGATGTATTTCTGTGTGATCTTGGTTGGATCAAGACCCACTTCCACCACACAGTGAAATAATAGCCACAAGTATACACTGGAGGTGTGGCGGAGGCAGAGAAGATGAAACCAGGCATAGAGAATGAAATTTCAAAGTGATGAGAGCATTGTTAGCAACAGGAATGAATTTTCAGAGTGTAAGTTTTAACCCGTAATCTACCCAGCGTAGTGCTTACACTCATGGGCTGGAATATACATCAAATATCAAACAAAATCAAAACATTGCAGCAAGCTCCTGGCACAGCCAGAGGAGTTAAATGTCGGGGATGGTCCAGTCTCCAATGCTCAGAATTATATTGATCTTGGACGTCAGTCCTGTTTTTCCTGAATCAGCCTCTTAGCCTGCCAGAATTGGCCTGGAATCCTTCAGCAAGGATGGCCAGGGGCTGGTCGGGGGATCATGGGCCTTGTAGGATCAAAAAAGGGGGGGCGCACAGAACAGAGGCTCATCGGACCATCTACCTGGCCGCAAACATGGGGATTATGGGACTTGGAGTTTAAAACAGCAACCACCACACAGTAAGACCTGTAAGCCACGCACAAAGTCAGAGGCTCGTCCGGCTGTCTGCTTGGCCCCAAGCGTGGGGGATTATGGGATCTGTGGTTGAAAAAAAAACCCGCACAAGATTAGAGGCACCCGGGGCTGGGGATTCCGGGTCTCCTCCTTTCAAAAGGCAGGAAGGTCTCAAGGCGCAGAGCTTCGCGATGATGGGTCTTGGTGTCCCTCCCCCCCCCAAGCAGCTTCCCCATCCTGTGGCCCAGATCCAGGTGAGCTCAGCACCTTTGGGCCCCCCCCCCCGCGGCCGGGGACGCACCGTCGAGCGAGAGGAGCGACTCGTGGAGTTTGCACTGGACCTGCCCGGTGCTTTGCGAGGCGCAGCTCATCCAGAGCCCCTCGTACAGCCCGACGGCGGTGATGATGGCGTCGCCGGCGTAGGAGCTCTGCTTCCACTGGGGCAGCGCCGAGGCGCAGATGGTCCCGATCCAGCCGGCCAGCGCGAGGAAGTAGCCCACTAGCTGCAACCCCGCGCTGGCCATCGGGGCGAGCGGGCGGGCGAGCGGACGGGGCGGGCGATAGCGGGAACTGCGCGGCCGCGCTCCCAGGGCCACCCCCGCGAGGGAGACGCCGGAGTCTCTCTCTCTGACTCTCTCTCTCTCGCCCCCTCCCTTTCCGAGTCAGATAGCCTGCCCCCGGAGCGGGAGGAGCCAGCCCCTCGGAAGCATGCCAGGCTCTCTCTCTCTCTCCCCCCCCGCCGCCCCTCCAGGGACCTTATTGCGAGGGGGGCAGCGCAACAGTTGTGAATACCTCTCATTCCGCCCTCCCCACTACCACTTTCCTGCTCAGCTACGACGATGTTGGGAGGGAGGGAAGGAGGGGTGTCGCCTTGGACCGGGGTCCCCGTCCAAGGCTAGTGGACCCCTCCATCAAGTGAATTTTGTGCGATTTGGGGGATTTACTTTTTTTGTTGTTCAATTGTTAAATCGTGTCCGATTCTTTGTGACCCCATGGACCAGAGCACGCCAGGCCCTCCTGTCTTCCATTGCCTCCCGGAGTTGGGTCAAATTCATGTTGGTGGCTTCGATGACACTCTCCATCCATCTTGTCCTCTGCCGTCCCCTTCTCCTCTTGCCTTCACTCTTTCCCAACATCAGGGTCTTTACCCGGGAGTTTTCTCTTCTCATGAGATGGCCAAAGTACTGAAGCCTCAGCTTCAGGATCTGTCCTTCCAGTGAGCACTCAGGGTTGATTCCCTTCAGAATGAATAGGTTTGATCCCCTTGCAGTCGAGATTTTAGGAAGGGCCGTCCCATGTTATTTTGCTGCCTGAGGCAGAGCCGCCCCACCCCCATTGCATAGTTGTCAAAGACAGCTAAGAAATGTCTCTCCGGGACTTCGGTAAAAACGTAGTTATAATCAAGCACATAAATGGGCAATTCACAGCATGCTGAAGGGACCACCTCGCCCTGCCAAAGAGTAGGGCCGGCCCATGATTCCTGCCCTCTTGGGTCCAAATAGCAAGACCCCAATGAGTGGTGGATGTTACATTGGGTTAGGTCTCTCTCACCTTGCCATTGTCAGCTTGGATGGGCAAGAATGCTGCTGGAGGATGAAGAGAGGGCTCCTTTCTCACTTAGAAATTGACTGTGTTCAAAAAAGCTCAGTGGTTTAGGTCTCCAGCTGCAGAGCCAGAGGTTGGGAGTTCGATTCCCCCCACTGTCCCTCCTTGACAGGGGCTGGACTAGATGATCTATAGGGCCCTTCCAGCTCTGCCCTTCTAAAATTATATATAGCCTTATGCAGCACAAATTTGACTAATTCCCCATTAAAAGCTGCCCAAGTTAGTGAGTTTCACATCCTTATGCAAATTCCATCAGCCCCAGTCACTGCCCTTGCTGGGAGATGCTTTTTGGACTATGACTGTCATCATCCTTCAACGCTCTTGCAGCTGGCATGGTCAAATGTGTTGTGTAGGCCAAAAATGACAAGTTTTCAAAGTTCTTTGTAAGACCAATGATAAGCGATTCTGGAAAATGTAGTGTAAACCATGGGGAAGACCAACGCTTTTCTTACTCTAATCTAAAGTAAGAGCCTTTTTTGTTATTAGTATCAGGGTGCTGCACAATTTAAAATTATGGACGCACAGGAAATATAGGTAAAATTTTTAAAAAGTTACAATGTAAAAGATGATTAGATTGTTTTTGACCATAAGCTGCCTACTTTAGTAGCGTTCTCTTGGCCATTTGCTAGATCTTTTTTTTGTACATGTGGTGGAGCATAAAAGTGCTGCATGGACTGAATTTCTCCACAGTCACGGAAAGTTTGTCCTGCACCCAAGTTGCCTCATTCGTCTTCGCTCTTCCTCCTTCGCTTCGAGGTCTCTTAAGTGACTTCCAGAGGGTCCAGACGGACGCCTTAAGGGCGTTATGCGTCAAGATTAAAATGACTTAAATATTCCCAACGCAATGTCATCGCAATCCTTGTAACAGATGAGAAAGTGAAAATAACAGCAGGTTCGAAATGAAGCAACGTGGGAGCTCTGCAGAGTAAAGTGAGATTTATGTCCTTGTGAGCAAAATCAAAATAAACAAACAAACAAACAAACAAACAAATAAATAAATAAATAAATAAATAAATAAAGGGTGAGCCTTAGTTTAATTTAGGCAGCAATCTATGAATTGCAGATCTGTGGAATGTGAGTAAATATGCGTAGGATCCCAACAACATAGCTTTCTTTTAGGCATGGCTTGGCGGATCGCCAAAGGCGCCTGTTGCTTTGCAAGTGCCCCCTCCAAGGTAGAATGGGCTCACTTTGTCGGATCAGGACCACCGCTCACAATAGTGCTGGAAACCCATGCCCTGCCACTACCCCCCCCCTTTGCAGGCGGTATCTTCAACTCCTGCCCCCCCTTTTTTTCTGCACAAGAGGCCTGAGCTGCATCCTAATGAAGCTAACCTTTCGCTCTCTCCTCGCTTTGCCCCCAACGCTTGCATTGTGCGCAGCCCCCGTTTGTGGGGGCCGGCTGGCCTTTTCGGCAGGAATTTGGGTGGGCTGCAGTTGTCAACAAAAAAGCACATTGACTCCAGGGAGCAGCTTTGGAGCGCTCGGGGTTTCTGCGCCTTCGGTTTTTGCTCTCCTCCGTTGCACAAGAATGTGTGCTCAGGGACCAGGGAGAAAGCATTTTATTCCTTTAATTTCCACCCCCCCCCCGGGCAGCCTGGCAGGAGAAAAAAATTATACCGTGGGTCAGTTGAGCCAAGGGTACATCCCTTGCCCCACAGCAGGCAGCTTGGAGGGAGGCCAGATTTTAAACTGTGCCCGGCGCAAACCTGCCTAAAGCAGTTTGAGAATTGATCTCCCAGGTAGCCTTTGGGGGGGGGTGGGAGGAGAAAACCCCTACGTAAAACCAAAGTAACAGGACAGCCAGCTGAAAAAGACCCAAAGTAAGGTTTTTCCAGTTTCGATGTATGGAAGCAAGAGCTGGACCATAAAGAAGGCTGACCACCGAAGAATGGATGCTTTTTGAATTGTCAAACCTATCCGTTCTGAAGGAAATCAACCCTGAGTGCTCACTGGAAGGACGGATCCTGAAGCTGAGGCTCCAATACTTTGGCCATCTCATGAGATGGAAAAGACCCTGATGTTGGGAAAGTGTGAAGGCAAGAGGAGAAGGGGACGACAGAGGACGAGATGGTTGGACAGTGTCATTGAAGCCACCAACATGAATTTGACCCAACTCCGGGAGGCAGTGGAAGACAGGAGGGACTGGCACGCTCTGATCCATGGGGTTGCGAAGAGTCGGACATGACTGAACGACTAATCAACAACATCACTCATATCTTCCGAAGTCTAGCTTTTCTTTCCTAAGCGATTTCTCTTCCACTCTGTTAACCACTTTGCACACAAATCACAACCCCTGTGTAGACACTCAGCAAAGCATGTTATTGTAAAGGTACAGAGGTGTGTTTATTACCTCACTGCTTTGTAAGGTTGGGGGAGGAAACAGGAGTCAAGGGGAATCATCACAAGCAAACCTTTGCTGCTCCACATGCGGCAACATTTAATTCCATAAGATGAGGATTTTGGGGGGGGGGTCTTGTTACCAGCCCTGGAAAAGCCAAATTTTTAATTCGACAAGAAATGTGCATCCAGTATTCTGTGTGCCCCCTGCCATTCCACACCAATTCAAGAAGCAAAGTAAGGTGAACCAAGTTTACTGAACGTGAACAGATTACTAATGAGAGAGGAGAGTTAAAGATTTCCAGCCAGGAACAGAAAGGGCTAGACCGGGAGATAAATTGCAGAAATGTCGGGACCTGAGGCTATGCTGGAGTGTTGGGGAACTTCTGATCGTTCAGCCTTTGATCCTCCCATGCTTATGGCTACCCCGGATCACCTCCATCATCCTCAATGACATAAATTGCTAGGAAAAAGAGATATTTGATGACACGGGTAGCTTGCGACTGGGACAGGAGGAGGATGACACCCATTTGGAGTTGGGCTACCTGCCTGTATAGCTCAGTGGTTGAGGCATCCAGCTGTGGAGCCAGAGGTTGGGAGTTCAATTCCCCCACTGGGTCTCCCAGAAGAGCCAGCCTGGGTGGCCTTGGGCCAGCTGCACCGTCCCAGGATGCCACCAGAAGAAAGGAATGGTAAACCATTTCTGAGAACTCTCTACTTGGAAAACCCTGGAAAAGATTGCCATAAGTCAAAATGGACTTGCGTATGATGATTATTAACTGGCCCGGGGTGTGTCTGTCCAAGAGCACACACCCCCAAAAGAGGGGACCAGTAAACCACTTCTGAGTTCTTAATGCCTAGAAAACATTTGAGTGGGTTTTGAAGAACTTGGAAATGACTTGATGGCAGGTCATTGTTACGAAGCACCTTGGAACCAGGTTTTGATCGAGAGACCAGCTTCTTCCATAAACTGCATCTATGCCATTCCCAGGTGGCTCACAAAATATCACAACATTTTGTGTAATCCCTCCCACCCCATGAGAGACGAAAGCATGTCCTCGAATCCCCAAGCTGTGCATCATTTTAACCTTCCAGAAAACATATTTCTGTTTTTTTTTCCAGCTGCCCTTTAGCTTGCTTTTAACCCCCTCCTGAATTCTCCGGTGTCTCTCAACTTCTCATTTTTCTGTGTTTCTTTGTCTTGTCTTTATGAGCTCCCTCTTCTTCACAAAACTGCCCATTTTCTACAACTGCCCTGCAATTACAAAATTCCAGTCCTTGAAGGCTTCTACATCAGTTCATCTTGAATTTCCCTTTGATTAAATAAAGTCTCTTAACTATACCTTGCCTCCCATTTAAAAAAAATGATTCCTTCCCCGTTCAGCCCACCCCCCCTTCTCCCTGTCCTTCTGATTTGGCTTTTAAATAAAAGTTTTACAAAGAAGGACCTTATCTACAAAATGTAGAGGAACCGCATTGGCGGTAAGTAGTTTGGTCTCTAAGGGCTAAGCATTGCATTGTGGGAGGGTGCTCTGCAACGTAAGCATTTAAAGCACTCAAAGCTTAATTCTTGCAGGTCAAAGTGATTTGTATAAATTGCATCTGGCTTTCTGTTTCTTAGGGTTCACACTTTCCTCTTTATCCATTTATTTCTACCATCCAAACGAGGCCTTGGAATATTTATTTTAAGAGAAATCTTTTATAAAAAATTCTATAAGGGCTCCCTGTTGCATTGTGGGAGGGGTAAGGGTTAGGATTTAGGGTCAAGAGTCAAGGGTAAAGGTCAAGGGTAAAGGGTCAAGGGGCAGTGTCAATGGTCATGGGTCAAGGGTCAGAGTGTAGGGTCAAGGGTTGGGGTCAGGGGGCAGGGTCAGAGGTTAAAGCTTAGAGGGTCAAGGGTCAGTGTCTAGGATCAAGAGTCGGGGGTCAAGGGTCAATTGGGCAGGGTCAGAGGTCAAGGCTTAGAGGGTCAAGGGTCAGCGTCTAGGATCAAGAGTCGGGGTCAAGGGTCAGAGGTCAAGGGTCAGGGTCAAGGACAGAGGTAACAGCTTAGGGGTCAAGGGTCAATGTCTAGGGTCTAGGGTCAACAGGGCAGGGTCAGGTTGACCTAGGGGTCAAGGTCAATGGGGCAGGGTCAGAGGTCAAGGAATGGGGTCAATGGTCAGGGTCAGAGGTCAAGGCTTAGGGGTCACGAGGTCAGTGTCTAGGGTCAAGGGTCCAGATTTTAAATGAAAGTGTTTCAAAGAAGGACCTTATCTACAAAACGTAGAGGAACCACATTAGTGGTACGGCAGATCACACCATCCATCTTGGGGCTGCAACCGAGAGATGAATACTCCCTCAACTGGGACATCGATCTACCAAGGTTCAATGCCACCCAGAGAGGCATTGGGGCATCTGCTTTACTTGATCCATCATCTAAATTCAACTCCCCCAACCTATACAATTCAAAAACCATCTAATAAATTCTGTCCACGAGAAGATGCGATGTAAAGGAGGCCAGGCAAACGGAGTCAAAGGCACAGGGCTTTCTGATGAGCAGGGAGCCTGGCATAACTCTCCCCCACCCACCCCCAGAAACTCCCATCGATCTGCTGTAAGCTGCAGTCCTCATAGTAACCCGGAGAGGTATGGATTTCTTAGGGGACGGTATATTGTTTCCGGCTCTCCTTGCCATCCCAAATACAGCATTTAAAAGTAGTTTGGTCTCTAAGGGCTAAGCATTGCATTGTGGGAGGGTGCTCTGCAACTTAGGCATTTAAAGCACTCAAAGCTGAATTCTTGCAGGTCAAAGTGATTTGTATAAATTGCATCTGGCTTTCTGTTTCTTAGGGTTCACATTTTCCTCCTTTTCCATTTATTTCTGCCATCCAAACAATGCCTTGGAATATTTATTTTAAGAGAAATCTTTTTTAAAAATTCTATAAGGGCTCCCTGTTGCATTGTGGGAGGGGTAAGGGATAGGATTTAGGGTCAAGGGGCAGGTGTCAGAGGTCAAGGCCTAGGGGTCAATGGTCAATGTCTAGGGTTGGGGTCAAGGTCAGAGGTCAAGGCATCCAACATCTAAATTCAACCCCCCCAACTTATACAATTCAAAAACCATCTAATGAATTCTGATTTTGTTCCTATGAGGGCTACGGGCCTCGCATCCGGTTATAAACAGCCTCGGATTATAACTTGGTCCTTGTATTTTCAACGTTGGTTGCTTTTAGGGTCTTTTTGTTGTTGTTGTTCCCCGCAAAACCAGGAGCCACCAAAGATGAAATCTGACACCCGAACCATCCTGTTTTAATCCCTGCATTTGCCTCTTTACAACATCTTTAGGCAGCATACATTAAACTTTGCCCTTCTGTAATATCAGTCGATGCTCTCACAATGAATGGTATCTTCCAAGCTACCTTCAAGGGCAGCCCCATGCAAAGGCATTGCAGTAGTCTAGACAGCAATGTTATGAGTGTGTAAATACCTGTGTGTCGGGTATCCATCGGTGGGAAAGGTGTAATCCATGCACTGGTCTAAACTTGTAGATGTTCTCAGGCTACTGATACTTACGTTGTTTTAAACTCACATAACCAGTTTAAACCCGTAGACAGTGGTCCCCAACCTTGGGCCTCCAGATGTTCTTGGACTTCAACTCCCAGAAATCCTGGCCAGCAGAGGTGGTGGCGAAGGCTTCTGGGAGTTGTAGTTCAATAACATCTGGAGGCCCAAGGTTGAGGACCATTGCCGTAGAAGATAGTCCATCTGGTTAACCTGTCCGTCAGCATTCTGGAGCCCAGTGGTTTCCAACCTTGGTTCACCCAGGTGTTCTTGGACCACAACTCCCAGAACCCCTGGCTAGCAGCGCTGCTGCTGAAGGCTTCTGGGAATTGCAGTCCAAGGACATCTGGGCTGCCCAAGGTCGGGAACCCCTGCTATAGCTTGTAAGCATGCTCATTTCTCACTGGCTTATTTTCAAGGGTCTGTTGCCTGCCCATTAGGTTGCTTTTCTCCTTGACTAGCAGGGAGGGAAGTTCCTTTCTCAGCACGAAGCTTGGGAGGAGCTAGGCCACGCCACCATTCTCCCAGGCGAGCTGCATTTAGAGAACTCCGGAAATGGAAAAACGATGAGATCTCTAGTCCAGAAATTCTAAATAACACATCCTTGGTGAGTCGTACCTGAAATAAAAGCTCCATAATCAGAAGCAATCGACTGCCATCATCTGGTCTGTTTAAGTAAATGCAGATCCACAAGACTCTTTGGCCATATGATCGATTGCAAAATTATAACTCCTCCTTTTCCATTTCATCTGTTTGCATACTTGCATGGGGGAAAAGAATGTAAATGTATCAACAAGAAAGATTTCATTGATCTTTTGTCTGTGAAGGACACTTGGTTTGCTTAATTTATTTTGTTTGTACCGGACCTTGTATTTCACAAATTGCATAGACATCTTTGGCTTCCTAGCTATTTTAAACTCTTAAATCCCACAATCGCTTCCTATTGGTCTTATTGGCTGGGGTTTATAGGAATCGAAATCCAGAATATCTGGAAGGTCAAATACTTGTCACCCCCTAGGCCTATGGTCCGCAGAGCAATCCTAGAAAGTAATCTGGCTGGGGAGAGCGTGAATCATCCATGGTCTTTCAGTAAATTGAGCTGGGATTTGAACTCAGGTCTTCCAGTATTGTGACCCCCTTGCTGTGTGCTTGGCTGGGAACAGACTAGAGTCAAGTGGAAGCTCTTCCATGGGGATACCAGATACTGGTCCAACAACAACAACAACAACAATAATAAGAGCAATAAAAACAGAAAATGGAACTAAGGTGAACCGCTTGGCCTATGGTTGAAGGGAAGGCCTCTGAATTGTGAGCATCAAAGCAGATGATGTGTTTACCCTAGTTTTAAAACAGAGGCCCATCAAGCGGGGAAGACTTCTGTCATGTTTGTCCTCACCCGCCGTATCTTGTATTTAGCATGCTTTGTTTCGTGATTGGTCAGCAGAAGGCAAACAGGCGCTTAATTTGGAATGTTGACTTTTGAAGCTCGGAGCTCTGTGGAAACCTCATGGCGGGAGGCGAGATTGGTGAACGGTGGGAAAACACACTCTTCCGTTTCATGCCAGGGTGGACTTGGAGAAACAGAGAAATTGGGGTCTTTGTGTGTAACCAGAAAGGACTCTCCCCAACAACAAAGATGAACATCTGCTGATGTTGAGCAACTGTTCCCCTGAAGAACACTATATCCTTGATGCAAAGTTGCTCATTTAAGGGGCCTCAATCCACAGGCTGTTTTTTTCTCTCTCTCTTTTTCTTTCCCTAGAGGTTCTTGTTGTTCTCTGGAGGCAGAAAGAAGCCTACAGTTCATCTTTTCCTGCAGCTGTTTTCTCTCCGGGAGCTTCTGTCGGGCCCGGTTGGAGTTGCTCAGCCGCCGGCGCCTGCTCTGGAGGTAGCTCGGTTTCTTCTGTGTGGAAGAGCATCCGTACGAGGTCACTGGCCTGGACTCTCTCCTGAGGAGGCCAAGAGAAACAAGTTGGATCGAAGCCACAGACAGAACCAGTCGCCTGGTGTGGGAGCCGCCGAGGTGGCACTCACCCGTTCACTGTGGCGTGGGTCCAGGGTAAACCACAAGGCAATGGCACAACGTTGGCCCTTGGTTATGGCCTTCACACCGTGAGGGTTTTCCGAGCCAGAGGAGAAGCCCACCACCCGGCCACACTGGGGCTGCACTTCTGCCTGCAGACAAAACACAGCGGATCGAAAGCCACGGAAGAGGGTCGTGGGAGAAACCCCGAAACGGGAGCCGTGCCCAAACGTCTTCCAGGTGCAGAATTGCAACCTCAGCAATTAGTGAGGACAATTCCTCCTTTCCGTCCCACACATATTACCTGGGTGAGGATGATCTCTCTGCTCCAACCGGGACAAATCCTCTTGGAGGGGATGATACCTTTCGCAACAGAAACCACAAACTTACCGTCACCGTTTTGGCATCCAGCTCCGTGAAGTAAAAGGCTCCTCCTTCGAAGTCAGCATTTAAATAGAGGATGGCACTACATTTAAATGAGAGAGAGAGAGAGAGAGAGAGAGGAGCTTGGGTTTATAATACCTTTCTTTCTCCTGGGAGATTCAGGGTCAAATTACATGTTACAGTTAGCATGCCATTAGAAGCTGAAATCCCATTAGGGCTCGAGAGAGGTGCTGTCAGCCACATTTGTGCATAAGCGATCCTCCTGGCCAAGAAGCCTGTGTTTACTTCTGAGTGACCCATCACAAAGCAACACATGCTGATTTGCAAAGGACAGGAGATCTGGAAAGCTCGTGCTGTGACACAAACATCTGTCAGCACTTAAATTATTCCCTTTTCTAATGACATGTCATCTATAATGTTCAGATGATTTTTCTTGCTTTCTCTGCCAGTGTTACCTGTAGTCCCGAAATGTGTACGCTGGTGGCTCTTTGACGCATATTAGAGCCTCTGCATTAAGGATACAGTTGTCCACATGTACAGGGTGACTCGGATCTGCCCTGTCCTCCTGTTTATCTACAAGGAAGACACACAGAAGCATTTAAACATCATTGTGCTCAACAGTCATATCCAAGCCACGAGAATCCAGCATGCAGTGATAATCTTGTTTTTGGGAAAGAGAACATTTTTCTAGTCCTCATGACCAGCTTGACAATAATAATTGGCAAGAATGATATAGAAGAAAAAAAAGTTGAGAACTCAGGGATGAGATGGATGACATTCATGCATCCTGGGAGCAGTCAAATCAATCGATTCATTGATTTGATTTTTATGCTGCTTTTCTCCCCGTCGGGCCCTGGAAGGGATAGTTAACATTTAAAAACCAGAAATAATGGAAAGCATATGGACTCAAGTTCAAAAACATGATGTGAAAACATTTGAAAACATTATTTAAAAACGATAAAGCAGTTTGTTAAAAACAACAGCGTTTCTCCCTTTTTTGAAAGTGTAAGAACAACAGCTGTAGTTGAGACTGTCATTGTCACCATTGGCACTAGAAATACCCTGCAGTCACTTCTTAGGACAGTGGTTCCCAACCTTTGGCTGTCTAGGTATTTAAGACTTCAATTCCTAGAATCCTTGGCTTTCAGATTGAAGCTTCTGAAAGTCTAAAACATCAAGAGAGCCTACAGGTTGAAAACCAACCAGTGAAGAGGATGAATAAAGTCAACAAGCTGGCAATTGTGCAGAGCGGCAACCAGCAGTTTGAGCACTTGGGACTCTACCACCGTAATCTGGGGGAATCACGTGAGAGTGACACGTGTGGGGAGAAAATGGAGAAATGGGCAAGAACACTTGGTAGGGGTGTACGTTTTCATTATTTTGGACTCTGGTTCCCAGAATTCTCCAAGAAAACCCCGAGCAGAATTGTGGGACTTTCAGTCCACAATTTACTCGCCTGGAGCAGGGCCTAATCCCTGAGGCTTCATGGCCTTCTTGAGCCTTTGTTTCCTATTTCCTGCAAAATGACAAGTCGTAGTTCTTCAGGAGGCACCTTCTATGAAGCTTAATAGGCCATGAGACTACAATTCCCAGGAAGCACTGAAGTGGCCTCTTTTTTTAAAAAAAACATTAACAACAGGAACCAAAGGCTTCAGAAGGCCATGCAGCCTCCGAGGTAGGCCCTGTGCTCCAGGCGAGTGAAAGGTTGGTGTTCAGGATTCTGGGAGTCAGGGGCCCTAAGAAGGACACATCCCTAGGAGGAATATGTGCTTGGGCAGGTAAGTTGACCTCCTTCCAACAGGAAACACCAACAGTGGATTTGCACCCTTCTAGAAGGTGATGTTTGTGCTCTTGACCCTTGGCACCCTGGTTCAAAGCCTGAATTGCCCGATGACTCGGTCGGCACTCCAACTTGCCTTCGATCGCCGTCCGGCAGACCAGGTGGGAGTACGAGAAGTAGAGCGGCACGTCCAAGCGGAAATAGGACTCGACCACACGCCGGACCTTTTCGGTCACATTAAAATAGAGGTAGGCGCTCTGCAACGGTACCTTGCCCTCTTGTCCAAGCTGTCGAAGCAAGAAAGGTAGAGGAGAAAGACTATAAGAAAACTGCCATTGTAACATCCATGCCCTCCCTCCCCCCCATTACATCTTGACCCTTAGAGCTCTATTTCTGCAAGAAGTGTATTCCATCTCACGGCAGAGAGAACAGGGGAAAAATCCTGGATTTGGACAACAAATCCCAGAATCCCCCACCGCATGTTGGTGGTTGTCCAAAGTTCTGTCCATGAGAAGATGCGATGTAAAGGAGGCCAGGCAAACGGAGTCAAAGGCACAGGGCTTTCTGATGAGCAGGGAGCCTGGCATAACTCTCCCCCACCCACCCCCAGAAACTCCCATCGATCTGCTGTAAGCTGCAGTCCTCATAGTAACCCGGAGAGGTATGGCTTTCTTAGGGGACGGTATATTGTTTCCAGGTATCCTTGCCACCCAAAATACAGTATTTAAAAGTAGTTTGGTCTTGGGGACGGTATATTGTTTCCGGCTATCCTTGCCATCCAAAATACAGTATTGAAAAATAGTTTGGTCTTGGACGGGCCATTCAATGCCATTAGCTGTACAAAAGCCCTGCCCTTCATTTGTTGGTAAGCTCTGGATGTCTGCCTATTTGGAAATTAATGCTTGGGCAGGCTGGTTGTGAAGACTGTTATAAGCATCCATAGCTATTGCTATAATACTAAGGTCAAGAAGAGCTCGCTCTGGGGAATTCTGAGAGCTGGAGTCTGCACACTAGAAGACTCTCTAGTCCATTCCAGGGGGACCCCCATTTCCATGGGGGAATTGGCTCAAAAACACTGATCACAGCAAAAGCTATAATACTGTAGCATGGTCTCTGGCTTCCTCTAATGGCCAGTTCCAGTCACTTCCTCATTAGATATTTTTGGGATTTACCTTTTAATAAGTGCATCAGGGGATACCGATCCCACAGATACGGGTGACCGACTCTGTTGAGTTCATGCACTGGCCAGCCAGATGCCCATGGGATGTCTGTCCTCTCCCCATAAGCTGACATACAGAGGCAGACTGCCCCGGATACTCCTGGAGGTCCTATGACATGACTGGTAGCCACTGATGGACCAAGCTTTATGGCTTTGCTAAATCCTCCCTCAAAGCTATCAGATTTGGTAGCCATCAAGATATCTTGTGGCAGGGAGTTCCATGGTTTCACTCTGCCCGGCAGGAAGAAGCGTTTTCTTTGATCTGCCCACTGCTCACCTTCAAAGGAAGGGATTCACTGTATCTCAGCAGGATGACAGATGGGGAAAAAGCATCCTTCTTAACCCACTTCATGCTTACCTTGAGAGATTTATAGACAGTCACGCCATAAAATGTCTCACTTGGTGTGTGAGGAGACGTTTTCCCACGATAACCGTCTCCAGCAGTAGCAGCTGCCTGGAGTAAAAATGATAGACAGATCATCACCCTCATCTTAAAACGGCAGAGCTGGAAGGGGCCCAGTGGGTCATCTAGTCCAGCCCCTGTCAAGGTGGCCCCAGTGGGGGAATCAAACTCCCCACTTCGGGCTCTGCAGCCAGAAACCGAGACCCCTGAGGGACCACTGGCTGACAACCCAGAACGCTATCCTCTGGTGCATTGACCGTGACGTTTTAGATTAGAAAGACCCAGGGGTTCTCACTCACATTAGTTAGCCTCTGGAGGGCCCTGCACTCTTCCTCAGAGAGGAGACCATCCACCACAACACGCTGGGATCCATTCAACAGTTTGGAGTTCATGGTGACGCTGAGTCCATCGTACAACAAGGGTCCTCCTGCAGAAAAGGTTGAAAGAGGGATCCAAGAGTGAAGGGACCATCCATCCATCCCTCTCTATCTATCTCCATCCATCCATCCATCCCTCTCCATCCATCCATCCATCCATCCATCCATCCATCCATCCAAGGGTGCAAACACAACATGTGTGGACAGGATCCAGAAGAAAAGTCTCTCCTGCTCTCCTTTGCCACAGATCTGGGCAAATCTGAAGGACCTAAAGGTAAATTTTCCTGACCCGGTGCAGACAGTTCTCCTCAAACTGACCACTTCCCATATTGAAAAAGGTATCATTCAAAGGCAGAAGAAGGAACAGGCAGGATATAAGGGTGTAAACGCTGGGTTTAGGGACAGTATTCCTTTGATTTTCTGGGCTACAAGTACCATAATTCACCATTCTGGGAGTTCAACCTGCCTTGCAGACATCTTAGGAACACATAGAAGCGATATCCATGGGAGAGAGGCCTAAACTGGAAGGCTTTGAGGCTTAGCTAGGCCTAGTTTCTCACAAGTTCCTAGTTGAGAAAGAAAACTCCCAGGTTGCACTGGGGCAGGAACAGGAAGCTTAGGTGGATCTAGGCCTAGCTCAGTGTCAAAGCCTTCTGGTTCAGGACTTTCTCCCAGGCGAGCCACACTCAGCCTATGTTTATAAGGTGTCTGCAAGGGTAGGTAGAACACCAAAAAGAAAGAATTATGGTATTTGTAGTACAGAAAATCTGAAAATCCCTTTCACAGCTGGGTCTTGTTGTCAGAGAAATTTGCCATTTTGGGAGTCTTATATGAGCATCTCTTTTCTCACCCCACCCCTCTTTTCAGTGGGGAGCAGGACACTTCTGGTCCACCTCGATTTTTTTCTGCACGGAGCTCAAGTCCTGCTTTCTCACCTTCCCGCACGAGGCTGCTCATGTCTGAGGACTCCTTGGTTTTCTCCTCGACCAGCGTCTCGATCTCTTTCATCAGGTTCCCAATCTCTTCGGAGATACGGGCAGCGGTCTCGCGCTCCACTCTGAGGAGGAAAGGAAGACCGTGGAATCGGCTTCCCCTTTAGAGGGACGCCCCAAGGGGGAAGGCCTTAGGGGGCCGTGGGTCTGAAGCTCCGAGTTCAAGTTTCAACTCAGCCCAGAGTTGGTTTGCTTACTCCAAAGTTTCTGAGGAGTGGCCCAGGAACCCACGTGGAGCTGAGTGAATAAGACGTTGTGCTCAAAGATGGGACCGTACTGACCAGTTATAGGAAGAGGGCCCTTTTAATAATAATTATGTGCCTTCAAATCAATTCTGACTCATGGTGCCCCTGTTTGGGGTTTTCCAGGTAGAGAATACACAGAAGTGCTTTACCCTTTCCTTCCTCTGGGGGGGCTCTGGGACTGTGCAGCTTGCCCAAGGCTACCCAGACTGGCTTTTCTGAAGTCCTCTTTCTTATTCGTTCATAATCTCATCCTGAGTATGGGGCTCATGGTCCAGAAAATTTAATGTGTTTTTTTCCCAAGCTCTGAGAACTATGTCAACAGTTCCAATGAGTTTGTACCAACAGATGGAAGTGTGGCAGCCAAGTTATAACCCTAAGATGTTTTCTGGTTGTCAACAGTTGACTACCATGTTCATTTTATCCCAAGACAGGGCGATTTCTGGTAAACAGAGCCCTAAGGTAGACTCACCCATGTTTTCCCCCCATGCTTGATCTCATCCTCCCGTTATTTGCTTTGAGCTAACTTTGATCTCCTCTAACCTTGATACAACTGTGAAGACAACCCCAGTGGTTTTTCCCCCCACTATCAATCCCAGAATCCTGGGAGTACCAGTGAGAGAAAGTAAAATTTTCAAAAGGAAAGAGGGGCAGTTCTCACCTCTGTTTATCTCTCAGGCGTTTCGGGATCACCTCAGCTGGCGTCCATGTGTCCTGGCAAACAAAATAAGGTGAAGTGTAGGGGGGAAAATATAAATACACACACACAAAGGTTAGGAATTGTCTAAAAACAATGCCACCCCTGAAGTGGTTCATTAAGATTTTGCTTTGGCCCCCTGTTTCCAATCCTCGCTTCAGATTTTCTTAGTGTTTGAAATGCTGAACCAGGATTAAGTAGAGGTGAGCTCAAATTCATACCCAACCATTAAGTTTAGGCTCCTTCTCTCTCTGCATATCCTACCTTATAGGACTGTTGTGAGATTACACTGGAGGAACCAGTTGTTGTGATGCGTCCTCAAATTGATTCTAATTTATGGCCCCTCTGCTAGAGTTTCTGAGGGGGTTCAAGGAGGGATTTCCCTCTGCAACAGGTCCTCCCCCAAGTTTCCATGGCAATGTGGAGATTTGAACCCAGGTCCCCTCAGTCCTCATTGGCACTTGATCTACCACATTGCACCATGCTTGAGAAAAGGGACCAACAGAATTGTTATAGTTTTTGGATGATGATGATGATGATGATTTCTATGACATTTCACTTTTTCTGTGCATCCCGCATTTGAACCCATAAGCAAGTTCAAAAATGTTTATGAGGAACCTGGCCTATCTCACCAGATTACTCATAAACATGTTCAAGATTTTCCAGGTCAATAATGCTCAGAAGTGGTTTACTCTTCTGGGAGTATCTTGGGACTGTGCAGCTTGCCCAAGGCCACATAAGCTGGCTCTACTCAGAGGAG